CTAGCACCTGGTAGGTGGTAACTTCTACTGTCATTGGAGATGTTAGCCTTCTCACTTAGGACAGTTTGGGGAGCCAGGGAGCAACAGTGTTTGAAGTGTTTCTCTGTCACATTCTAGTTGTGTGGGGGCAGTGACAGAATCCACCCTTTAGGTTGTTGTGACTTTCAAGTGAACTGATTCTGTAAAGCACTTAGGAAGGACAGGGCGTGTGGTCAGAGATGAAAAACTCTTACTGTGAGAGCAGTGGGCTGCCCAGGATTGGAGCCAAGCTTTGAGTTCACCCAGCCTGTGTTCTGAAGCACTGCATTGCAGTCTCACTTTCTCTCCTAGGGCCTCTGTCAGACACATTTACACACCTCTTCCCTTGCATCCTGAGCCAGGCTTGCTGGCTGGAATGTCTGTCAGATCCTGCTCCTTTGGTGGCCTGCCTAAAGGTGCAAAGGTTGTCTGTGCTGTTTAATGCTTCCGATACCCTAGTCAATGCAGAGAAAGACCTTCCTTTGGCATCAGGCAACAAATGGGCCCAGGCCCCCACTAAGCAGCCTCTCCTCTGCCCCTGCTTCCTCACCCTGTCTGCAGTCAGGCAGGAGGGCCTGGAGCTGATGACAGGCAGGCCTGTCTTCTTTTCTTTTCTTTTCTTTTCTTTTCTTTTCTTTTCTTTTCTTTTTTCTGTCTGTCTGTCTGTCTGTCTGTGTCTGTGTGTTGTGTGTTCATGAGTGGAGGGGCCAGAAGTCAGTGTAGGGTATCTGAATTGCTTGCCGTCTTATTTTTTAAGGAAGGGGTCTCTCGCTGAACTTGATCTCACCAATTCCACCAGGCTGGCCAGTGTACTCTAGAGATCTGCCTGTCTCTGCCTCCCAAGCTCTGAGATTACAGACACTTGCTACATCCAGCTTTTATGTGTATACTGGAGATCCAAATAGGTCCTCATGCCTCTGCTTTACCAGCTGAGCCTCTCCACAGTCTCCCCACCCCCAACCCTACCCCTGCCCCTGGCAACTCTTTTTTCTAAGAGTTCTCAAGGCCCTCCTGGGGTAGTGGTACACACTTGTAATGCCAGCACTCAAGAAGTGGAGGCAGGAGAATCAAGAGAATTTGAGCCAGCCTGGGCTACATATCAAGATCACATCTCAAAGAGAGAGATAATCCCAGGGCTGGAGAGAGGGCTCAGTGGTTAAGAGCACTGACTGCTCTTACAGAAGACTCAGGTTCAGTTCCTAGCACCCACATGGCCACTAACAACCACCCATAACTCTAATTTCAGGGACACTGACACCCTCTTCTGGCCTCCATGGGCATTCCATGACAGGTGCACCTATATACATGCAGGAAAAACATTCATACATATCAAATAAAAATAAATGCATGAATAATGCCAGGTGTGGTGGTACAAGCCTTTAATCCCAGCACTAGGGAGGCAGAGGCAGGCGGATCTCTCTGAGTTCAAGGCCAGCCTGGTCTACATAGTGAGTACCAGGCCAGCTGGGGCTACAGGGAGACCCTGTCTCAAAAAGAACAAAAATAAATGATGATAGATAGATAGATAGATAGATAGATAGATAGATAGATAGATAGATAGATAGATAGATAGATAGATAGATAGATAGATAGATAGATAGATAGATAGATAGAATTTCCAAAGCTCAAGTTCACCCTCTAGTTCAGAAAGGGCACCAGGTGGGTCCAGTACTCTGAGCCATCCCTAAGCCTGTGTTACTCTGGGCCTAGAGCTGTGTTTGCTTCTCTTTACCTCCTCTTTCTCTCTCTCTCTCTCTCTCTCTCTCTCTCTCATGCACTGCTTCTCTTGGCATTTGGGGTCAGCAGACTTAAAGCTTTCCTCTTGGCTGTGTGATGATGGCCAGTCAGTTAAACTCTCTGTGCCTCAGTCACCTCAACAAATGATGGAACATTTCTCACAGAGGCTTATGTGAGCATTCAAAGATGGTCACCCTCATGTGTGTTATATTAATCCTTCTGTTTGCAATTTCTAATTCCTAATATAGGACTACATCTATTCATTGGTTTCGATTTTATTTTAATCTTAGATGTAGATGGAATAAACATCATTTGGACCATACTCCTTACCCTTCCCAGTGGAACCTCAGTGGGCAGTTGTCTCTCCTTCTAGACCTTTCTGGCCTTATAGGCTCCTAGGTCATGTGTACTTTTGTGCAATCATATAAGAATATTTTTTGCAACTTTCATTTTTCTTATGATAGCAAATATCAGAGATGTTTCTGCCTTTGTCAGTTTCATTAACTGGCCCCTGGTGATAGTTTGTGTGATAGTTTGTGTGGTTTCCAACAAACCCCTATTAGAACCAGCATTATGAGAACAGCCCGGGCCACCCAGTTCTTGTACCGCATTGGAATTTCTGTAGGCTACACGGTTCACAGTTCCTTTTTAAGCTGGTTCAACACATTTCAGCCCCAACATTTTGTATTCAGTCCTTGTCTGTTGGTAGCCTCTCCATGGCATGGCTCTCCCAGGGTGCCTCAGTCTCACCTTTCAGACCTTGTTTGGGAGAGGGGGACAACAGATAGAAGCTTAGGTCCTAATATAGCAGGCTGAGGCAGGCTGTATAGCCACGGCCAGTGGAGGTGCAGCTCTACTGAGTGAGGAAACTAAGTAGGGTGCTTCAGTTCCTCTGTCCTGTGCAGGTTCCTCCTGCTCCCCCTGCAAGCCTGTCCTCCCCAGCTCCACATGAACAGGGATAAGGATCAGGTTCCAGCTCTAGACAGGTGATCATAAGCAAGTCACTCTTGTCTCTAAGACCCCTTGCCTCATAGGCTAAGCAGTGACAATGCTTGCCTCTCAGGGGCAGCAGCTGGGACAGAAAGCTGAGTATGTATTAGCATGTGCAAGAACTATTCCAACATCAATTACTCATATCCTAGTACTACACTGCCTCTGGCCCCATCCCTTCTACATGGTCTTGTATTCAGCTGGCCACTAACTCAAACACCTGTGGTTCTTTTGGGTTCAGTGGTTGACCTTATGGACCAACTAGGATGTTAACTACAAACAAGAAAATCTGCTGGCAGCTTAGAAACTAGTTGCCAGTGCTGTCCAGATGCTAGGCAGTTACTTTCCCCTGTAGTGCATGCTTAGTGGAATTTCGTGTGTGTGTGTGTGTGTGTGTGTGTGTGTGTGTGTGTGTGTGTGTCCATGGGCACACATTCCTGTCACAGCACAGATTTGGAGGTTAGAGAACAACTCGCCAGAGTCTCTCTTTCCACCCTGTGGATTTCAGGGATCAAATTCAGGTCTTCAGGCTTGGCTGCAAGCACCCTCATCTGCTGAGCTAGCTTGCTGACCTTCATAATGGAATTCTGATGATGTTTGTTGCCCTCTTTAAACTGTCAGTCCTATGAGGACAAGTTCACCAGAACACAGTAGGTGCTTGGTAAATGTGAGTGAGCGCAAATGAGTTTAAAGCTTTCTTTCAGTCAACTCACAGGTATGAGGCTGCTGCGATGGTGGTAACCTTTCTGGGGCAGGCCATCCCAGATAAGCACCCATGACTGGGGCCCAGGTCAGGAAGGGCCCAGGACAGGAGGGGCAATCTTTCCATTCTTTTCTGCAGCCAGCTGGCAACTTGAGGAAGTCCCTGGGTCCTAGTGTATGCTCCTTGGAGGGGGCACCCCCAGACCTGATCAGGTACAAGCCTTCTAGGTTGAGAGATTCGATTTCATGAGCTCACCCAGGGGTGACCAGACGCTGGGAAATCAACCAAGCAAGCCACTGATTGATAAGCCAGCTCAGCGATTTATTAATTTACACTTGGCAGCTGTGCCTGCTAAACAGCCTGCAGCATCTGAGCTGGTCCCTCTGCTCCCTTGTTCTCTTTGCAGAGGAAATTTCACTTAGGAGCCCAGATCTATTTCAGCAGAGCGGAATGGAGCAAAATGATAGTAAACAATAATGATAGTGGAAGCCGCTGTACCAGCGTGGATGGTGTGGACACCTTGCCATCCTGCTTTGTAAATGAGGACACTGAGGTTATACGGTTGTTCTGACTCCTGGAAAATGGAATCAGGACTCGAACCATGTCTTCCAGCTCCAATCTGCAGTCCCAGGGGCCCTGACCTTAATGCTGCTGAACTCAGGGGCCTGACCCATTCACACAGGGTTCCCTTCAGCCCTAGCCATGGCTCCCTATTTTCTTTTCAATGAAGCCACACAGCTTCTCCTCGGAACATCCATCTCTGTCACCCTGATGAGATGCAGAAGACCTGAGCCTCATTAGCAGTGTCTCTCCTCTTGATGCAGCGGTAAAACCCCAGTAACAGGTACCATTCATTCTGCCCCGGGCTGTGGATCAGGCCCCGTGCCAGGCATCTTGCACAGGGTATGGCCACTGCAGCCTTGTGACAGTCAGTATACACAGTCATCTCCTTTCACACCTAGGGACTCACAGGCTCAGAGAGATTCAGTGCCACGTTCAAGTCTCCCAGGTAGCAAATGGAAGGGCACGGTCTCCAAGTCTAAGTGATATTCAAGACTGAGCTGAGAATCACCTTCCTCCCCTGAACCTTTGAAGGTGACCTGCCTCCTGCCTCACATGCTGGACTTGCTTCCCATTGGAGTTTCTGGTCCCTTTGCTCTAAGGGCATTAGCATGGAGGCAGGGATCCTCCCAGGGTTCCATGAGGGCTGCCACACTCTTTGCAGGACGGGCTCCTGGTGACCCCCCTCACCACCACAGTAGGAACTTTGTACTGTTCTTGGGTTATTCATCTCATTCACACTTTCCTCTGGACGCTCAGCTTTCTGAGGGTAGGGGTCCTGTCTCTCTGTTCTCTGCTGCATTCCTGTGCCTGCAATATAATAGGTGCTCAGTAAACATGCTGAACAGAATTAGAATTAGGGGTGAAAGGTGTTAGGGAAGTTCTGGGTTGTCACAGGATAGTTACTAAGCAACCAGGCAGTAAGTGAGGGTAATGAAACAGACGGCTGGGCCACTTACTGAAAACATGACTTCTCTCTCCTCTCTTCCAGTTCCTGGCATTCGACACCCAGTTGCTGATGGGTAACCGCCGCCACTCGCTGAGCCCCGAGGAGTATATTTTTGGAGCTCTCAACATTTACTTAGACATTATCTATATCTTCACCTTCTTCCTGCAGCTTTTTGGCACCAACAGGGAATGAGAAGCCCTCCCCACCCCCACCCTCAGAGAATGCCTCTTCCCAGTCCTGTGACAAAGCCCCCCTCCACTGCGCCTCAAGACCAGACATAAATTCACTGCAGCCGGCTTGTGAGCAGACACTCCCTCCTGCAGCCAGCCCTCACCTTGTCCTCTGAAGCTTGTACATATACCATCCTTGGGGCCCTGCAAAACTGAAGCCACCTCATGCCCCGTGGTGACCCCTGCCACCCAATTACATCTTCCAAATGGGACAGTCAAGGCTGAGGGCATCTTTTGTTTGAGAACTCAAAGAACAAGCAGGATCTTGAGGTAGGGATCTCAGAGGTAGGAAGACTCAGGAAACCTGGGTGAGTCCTCAGGACCGCCACATCCAGTAGCCCAGTGCAACACTGTCCTGTGTCTAGCATGTACCTTCCTCTCTCTTCTAAGTCAAGCACCCACACTTTGTAAGAAGGGGGCTAAGGGGACTTGCAGAAACAGGGCACTGGACAGTGGGGTAAAGCTGTCCCAGGCTGCCCATCTCTCAGCTCTAGGAGAAGCAGCTTATTCTGGGGACCTGGGCCCTGAGGCAAGGCAATGGGAAAGTAGTAGGAAGCCATTGCTTCTATCACTTGCTTTCCTGGGTCATGGAACAGAGGACTATGCTAAGTGTGGGCCTATCCCAGGCTCCCAGGCAGAACCCAGAACTTCCCTAACACCTCCCCTAGTGAGGGCAGGGAAGCCAGCTGGAAGGACTGATTGGCAATCAATCCATCAGGCTGCATCCACTGGGGAGGCATCTGTGGTTGCCTCCTGAGGTGGAGGAAGGTGGGGCAGGCCTGGTGGAGGCAGTTCCAGTTGCTGGACCAGCCCTTACCCAAAGTTGCCCCAGAGTCCCTTCCACACTTCTTGTTTCCGAGGCCTTCCCCCATCTGTTGCTACTTGCTGGCTTATCTCCAGCCAGGCCTCTTGAGACCTTAAGAGTTGACAGCACCCCATCCCTTCCCCCAGCTTCTCTGGCCACTCAGCCCAGAATCCCTGAGTGCTTGCTCCCTTATCTCTACATCTCTGTAATTTGGAAACTGTCCAGCTAATGGTAGCAGCCAGGGCCAATCTCTTGAGCCTGTCCCATGTGATGAGGCCAGAACTCCTTATCAGCCTCCAGGCGGCTGGGATCTCAGGCAGAGTGTGCGTCAGCCACCCTACCTTGGCTGAGTGCCTGCTGGAGAGGGGACCTGGGGGCCACACCTGGAGCAGCATGCAGCCAGCCTATGCATGTGGCTAGCTTGGGCCAGTGGAAATTTACTGGGTGGAGGCAAGGAGGCTCTAAGCAGATGCTGAGGGCTCTGTTTGCCCCTAGGAAAGGGGACCAGGTCGCCTATCCATTTCTGACCCTCCTTCCCCACCCTTCCTATTTTTAGCTTTCAAGTAATATTACAGAAGCACCTGGTTTGTTCCATCTTGGATATTTGAGGAGGGAAGGAACCAAGAAACGGAGGGTGGTTTGTGACAGGCAGTGGGGGTCTAGGGAGGGATCTGCAGTATGCTAGTCTAAATGAACCCATCGCAGCTGTCCTGAAATGGCGGCAATCCAATCACCTCCAGTGAAGGAGGCAAAGTTGAGCTCCTCAGAAAAGCTTGGTGAGAAGTCCAAGGTCGTCCAACAAGCCTGGGGTTTGGCCCTACAGCTGCCTCATAGAAAGGACTCACCAGTCCAATTATGAGCTGGAATGAGTTGGGAATGAGCCGAGAGGTGGATGGTTAAACCCTGACATCTCTGGGGATTTGTGGTCTGCATGCTGCCCAGCCTTGCATCCCCAGATTGTTGCATTCTGAGATTTTCACCCCCTGTATACCATCTGGGAGCCAGGATTTCTGGTTTCTGATTCCTAGCCTCACTGTCAGCAGACATGTTTATTAGGCAAGAGGTTTTTGCTGTTTGTGGTTCGGTTTTACTGTGTGCAAGGTGGATGTTCTCAGCCTGTACCACTGTAAGGCAGGAAAAGACCCCAGGACACTTCCTCTGATTGACTCATCCAGTTGTTCTCCTCTTGGGTGCCTCTACTAATCTGGCTTCAGTTTTAGAAAAGTTTACAACCCCCCCACACACACACACACACCTGCTGCTTTCAGACTGGCCAAATTTCCAGAATCCACTTCTTCAAGTCCTCGGACTTTTCCTGGGATAACTTACGCAGAGACTAGGGATCGAGAAATTTTTCCAAGGCTAAGTTCCAAAAAATTGGGGGCGGAGCAAGCCCTCAACCATAAATAATGTGACCTAGGCACAAATCACAATGATCTCAAAGATGGCTAGGTTGCGGTAGGGGCCCCAGGGCATATCTCAGTCTCCTACCCAGGGCACTATCCAGCAGACAGCAGGAACAGAGCAGAAGCCTGTGTGTCAACCTCTGATTGAGGCAGTGGAGGAACTCCAGAACATCTGGATGGGTGGGGAGCAAGAATGCAGAATTGAGAAGAATGCAGGATTACAAGAAACCCGAAACTGCAGGTGTGTTGAATGGTAGAAGAGGAAGGTACTACTGGCCCCTCACATTTTTAGCCTGGGTGGGGCCAAACCTGGACGCAGGTAGATTGGATTTCATAAAGCTAGAGGAAACCAGGAATCTGACCACCTGTGATGTGAGGTCAGAAGTTCCCTGAGGAGGGGTGACAAGACAAGAGATCCTGTCCCCAAGGCTGCAGTTGGAGCAGATATGCACTCCCCACACCAGTCCCTGGGCCCATGTACAGTTCCTTTGGTATAGCCTGGGAAAGTCCTGAGATTAAGAAGATTGACTCTTCCAGCCCCTACTCTTTCTCCTGTGGGGGCCAAGACACCCTTGTTCCAGAAGGCTAAACATCTCCCTCCAGGCCTACCAGGTTGGTCAAGTCAGGGCTTTTACACAAGCACCTTTCTGCCCCCTTCTGGCTACTAGAGGAAAAGCAGAGTCTGGTATTACAGGGGAAGAACAGGGACGGCTGTGACAGAGGTGTGGGGCAGGACCTGACTGCAGCTCCCCTCAGGCCTCCCAGTGCTGTCTTCTCAGCAGTTCAATGATTGTCACATGGCACAAGACACTGTTGACCTGTCTGCCGAAAACCAGCCCTATGCCGCAGTCCCCTGCCCTAAGTTTTTCCCAAGTGTCTGGGGGCAGGGACTCAGCACCAGGCACAAGCACTCATCTGCCACACCCCCAACACTGCTACCCTTCTAGCCTCAGCTCCTCCAAGGTCCCTGGGGTCCCTCCCTTGGCCCTTCCCTGGCCTCACCTGCCCAGGGTGTGACTGACTGGAGATAAGAATAAAAGCAATTGCTAAGGCGTGTGACTGCTGGCTTCCCTTTGCCTGTGGCCTCAGATGGCTGGTGGAGGCTGTGAGGGGTAACAGCACCAGGGCAGCTCTCACAGAGTTGTTTCTTTCAGCACTACCTGTGAATTAGATCCACCTTGATCTTCGTGTGGAAAAGCTGAGGGATCCTCCTGCTCCAGACCTGAGAGCCTTCTGCAGACTGACCCAGCCTCACCTTGATGTTTGGGAGCCTGCCATTTTGTGGCTCCTTCTGTTAGAGTCTTCCGTACTTTGAGCTAAAAATGTTTTCTTAAAATGAACACACATGTGGTACCTGGACATGCCCCAAAGTAGCAGCTTTGAAGCTATTAAGCTTGAACTCCCATAGCCATTCCAGCACTTGGGAGGAAGAGGCAAGTGGAGCTCTGTGAGACTGAGGCCAGCCTGGGCTATATAGTGAGACCCTGTCTCAAATGATTGCACTTGGGCAAAAGCACCTCCTGAGAGAAAAGTGGGAGGGAAGAGGGGAGAGAAGGAGAGAGAGAAGGAGGAATGTATTCCAGCCCCTTGAGTTTACATAGGGGGGAACTTAGGAGCAAAAGTCGTAGTGACTTGTCCAAGTTTATGCACAAATATTACTGACAGGGAGTAGAATTAGAAGGCGGTTAATGATTGTAACACTTCTTGTGAGGATCCTGGGGCTGCTGGGGCTGGGCCAGTGTGTAGGAGGGGTCACCATCACACTGAAGGGGAAAACATTATCCTTTCTCTAGAACAAGACTTTGGTATAAATTCATCTGAAGCAAGCAAGGAAACAGAAACAGGAGTTTGGGGACAGTGAAGAGAAAATAACATATTTTTATTTTCTATTATTGTGTACGAGTGTATTTTTTGCCTACATTTGTGTAAGTGCACCCGTGTTGTGCAATGTCTGAGGAGGTCAGAAGATGGCATCAGATTCCCCTGGAACTAAGAGTTACAGGAGGTTGTTAGCCACCATGTGGGTGCTGGGAATCGAACCCAGGTCCTCTGCAAGAGCAGTCAGTATGCTTAATCGCTCAACCATCTCTCCAGCCCAGAAAACAGCTTTTATTAAGCACCCAAGGTATACAAAGAATTTCCATAGCTGTCAAGAGACAGAGAAAAGCAGCATCACAGCTTCAAACTGTGTAGCCCCAAGTGACACTTTCCTTTCTTCTCTCTCTTTATTGTTGTTCTGTTTTATTTGAGATAGAGTATGTAGCCCAAGCTGGCCTCAAACTCAGTCTTGCCGCCTTGTGCTGGGATGATATGTGTGTGTCACCCCGGCTCTCCTGTGTGCCTTCTTTTATGTGTCCCCAGCCAGAGCCAAGGCTGAGATGGGAAGTGGAGAGACATGAGGAGGCTTCTGACTCAGGTCTTGCGCTATGAAAGGCTGCAGGGCAGGAATGGGTACAGAGGGACAGACGAGGCAGTCTAAATTGGGAGGAAGTGACACTGCCATCCTGTGCTTCCCCCAGCGTCCACAGCCCTTCAGCATCCCCATGAGGAGGCTTCTGACTCAGGTCTTGCGCTATGAAAGGCTGCAGGGCAGGAGTGGGTACAGAGGGACAGACGAGGCAGTCTAAATTGGGAGGAAGTACACTGCCATCCTGTGCTTCCCCCAGCGTCCACAGCCCTTCAGCATCCCTCTCTCGTTGCCAGACTATCTTCATGAGTTTCCCGAGGTTGCTCTAACAAATGACCATGAACCAAGTAGCTTAAAAGAACAGAAATAATTTGTTCTGCACAGTTACGGAGGCATAGCAGACTTCCTTCCTTCAGAAGGCTCTGAGCGAGAGTCCACGCTCTCCTAGTCTGCAGTGGCTGCTGACACTCCTTTACAGGCCTCCTGGTCTCTGCCTACACCTTCACATGTGTCTGCCCTGCCTCTCCTCCTTCCTCTGATGGGAAGCTGCCCCTGGATCTACAGCCTGATGCACATCCAGGATGGTGAACTCGTCTCCAGATCCTTATTTTGGAAAAAGATTCTGTTTCCACAAGTGGCCTCATTACAAGTATAGGATTTAGGACATGGACATATCCAACTGGGCCTCTGTCCAGCTGACTACACTGCACTCTCCCTGCTGGCAGCTCCTGCTGACCGGAAGCCTCCACACACCCCTCCCCCCACAGCTGGAACAGCCTTCATTCCCAATGCCAGGCCCCTGGTGAGGCTGGAGAAATTCCCCGAAAACTCATCCAGTTGTCAATGCCATCCATCTCTGCCCAAGGCTGACTACTCCCTGAAACCCTGTTTTCCCTCTCACAGACTACCCTCCCACACCCTACAGCTCGCTGAGACACTTTCTTCCCAGCTCATAACCCCAGATCCTCTCCATCCTTTTTTGGGGAAAACCCTGCCCAAAGGATTGAGCTTCAAGTGTCCTCAATATTAGGTATCCCAAGGCCACCATGCTGGAAAGGCCACGTTTAGGTGCAGTGCCTCATTGCCATGCCAGTCAAGATGGTGACCACGTGAGGGAAGAAGCCAGCTCAGAAACTGGTGCTCTAACTTCTGCTGCTCCAGCCCTCGACCATTTGAGTCTTCCTCACTGAGGTTCAACACATCAAGAGCGTGGACAACTCTTCTTTGTAACCCATCCAAATGCCTAGCTCACAGAGCCCATGAGCACTGTTAAACAGCATGGTTTTGTGCCACTGAGTTTGAAATCATTTGCTAAGCAGCAACAGAAATGTAGAACAGAAAGTAACACACTTCCATAGCAAAAACAAACACAGGGCATTGATTTGGGGGCCAGGATATTCTCTCTCTCTCTCTCTCTCTCTCTCTCTCTCTCTCTCTCCTTTCCTTTTAGAGACAGGGTCTAAAAAGGCTGAAGAGGGGCTGGAGAGATGGTTCAGCAGCAAAGAGTACTTGCTGTTCTTGCAGAGGACTCAGGTTCAGTTCCCAACACCACACCACATGACAACCAACAACTGCCTGACACTCTAGTTCCAGAGGATCTGTCACCCTCTTCTGAGAGAGAGAGAGAGAGAGAGAGAGAGAGAGAGAGAGAGAGAGAGAGAGACTTGTATATCCCAAGCTGGCCTAGACTATCCTGTGTAGGACAGCCTGGAAGGTACAGTCCTGCCTCAGCCTCCTGCATCCTGGAATAAACAAGCATGTGCTGCCATGCACAGCTGATTAAGCAAAATTTGGAAGTGGTGTAAAAAGCCTACAGCAGTCTTTCCAGAAAACAAAGAATCCTCAAAGTAATAAAAGGGTGTCAGAGGAACGATCAAAGCCAGGGTGCTGTCAAGAAAACTGTCTCTGGGTATAAATGATGCCAAGACATAAGATCTCATACGGCTCCTCCAAACATCCTTGATATGGACAGAAATATTCTAAAGGCATTTGTTATGGACACATTCTGTTGAGCAACACGGATCCTAAGAATCTTAAGGATATTATTCCTCAGTGTGATATGGGTATTATCTCACTGTGAACCCAAGACAGAGAAGGCCTTTTCTTAAAGAGAAGAATCAATGTGATTTTATCTAGTGGAGTGATCTCCCAATAAGATTCATAGGAAAAGTTTAGACTTTTAAAAAATAATCATATTGCCTGGTGTGGTGGTACATGCTTTTAAGAGACAGGTTGGGGGCTGGAGAGATGGCTCAGCAGTTAAGAGCACTAGCTGTTCTTGCAGAAGACCCGGGTTTGAGTCCCAGCACCCACATGGCAGCTAACAACTTTCTGTAACTCCAGTTCCAGGGGAACCAACGGGCATTGCATGACATAGGTGCACTTACATACATGGAAGCATAACACTTATACACATAAAAATAATAAATAAAGCTGGGTGTGGTGGCGCACACCTTTAATCCCAGTACTCGGGAGGCAGAGGCAGGTGGATCTCTGTGAGTTTGAGGCCAGCCAGGTCTCTATAGCAAATCCAGGCCAGCTGGGGTTACAGGGAGACCCTGTCTCAAAAAGACCAAATAAATTAAATAAATAAATAAATAAATAAATAAATAATAAATAAAATTTAAAAAGAAAATTTTAAAGAGACAGGTGGATCTCTGTGAGATTGAGACAAGCCTTTTCTACATAGTAAGTTCCAGGCCAGTTGGGGCTACAGGAAGACTGTCTCAAAAAGGCCATCATCATCATCATCTTCTTCATCTCACTGCAGAAGCACCATGGTACACACTGACAGGGACCAAAACAGTACAAAATGCAAAGACTTTTGAACTCTGGGGCTCTAGAAACCGCTCAGCAATGAAGAGCACTTGTTTCTCTTCCAGAGGACTCAAACTAGGTTCCCAGCACCCATATGAGGTGGTTCACAACTGCCTATAACTCCAGCTCCAGAGGATTCAATGCAGTCTTCTGGCCTTTATGGGCACCTGACAGACACACGTGACAGACACACACACAGACTCACCACACACACAGACACACACACACACACACACACACACACACACACACTAAAAACAGGTATTTAAAAAAGACCCATGAACTTCTATGGCAACACAGCTAAAAATATGAGCTATTCCTGTGAAAAAGAAAAGGCAACTCAGATTATAAAACCAAGAGACTGGAGAGCTGGCTCAGCAGTTAAGAGCACTGCTTGCTCTTGCTGAGGTCCTGGGTTCAGTCCTAGCACCCACATGGTGGTTAACAATCACCTGTAATTCCAGTTCTAGGGGACCTGACTCCCTCTTCTGGCCTTTGAGGGCATTGCACACACAGGCGAACTAACTTAAATGCAAGCAAAAAACTCATACATATAAAACAGCAAAAATAAATAAAATTTTTAAAACTTTTTAATATTTTGTATTTACTATTTTTATTTCATGTGTATGAGTGTATTGCCTGCATGTAAGTGCACCCATGTCATGCAATGCCTTGGAGGTCAGAATAGGGTTTCAGATTCCCCTGGAACTGGAGTTGACGGTTTGTAGCTGCCATGTGGGTGCTGGGAATCGAACCCAGGTCCTCTGCAAGAGCAGTCAGTGCTCTTAACCACTGAGCCATCTCTCCAGTCCCAATAAATAAAAAATT